TTTTGATTGAAATTTGGATCGCTTCCCTGATTGCCGACCAGTGTTCATTGAGTCCTCTGGCTGATGGTGGAGTTGAGAGGCGATCTGATAGTTCCGCTTCGAAGGCCGATTTGCAACTGTCGGTGGTACTGTATTGTGGGCATCCGTTTTCGGCGGCTTTTTTGCGGTTGTTTATCAGGCGTAGGGAGAATCTCGCTCGTAGCAGAGCATGGTCCGCGTCTACGAGCGTTGACCAGTAGGAGCGGCAGTCTTCAATGGATTTTCCCCAGCGGTGGACGATGGCGATGTGGTCGATTTGAGTCCAGCGCTGTGAAGAAGTTGGCGGTCTCCATGTAAGGCGGTGACATTTTTTGTGCGAGAAGTTCGTGCTTGACAGAAACAGTCCGTGGTCAGCACAAAGTTGGAGTAAGCGTTCTCCGCTATCAGTCCTGTTGGTTAGGATTGCATGCGGACCACCAAGTGACCTCTCTGATTCGTCCAGGGATCCCACTTGAGCATTAAAGTCTCCAGCGACCATCACGACGTCCGTTGACCGAGCGCTTTGGAGCAGTAGACAGAGATCCTTGTAGAATTCATCCTTGATTTCTGGTGAACTGCAATCCGCCGGTGCATACGCGGATACTACGAATAAACATCGACGCTTCGTTCCGTAGTTGTTGACGCGCACTGAACCATCCGGGCGTACGGCGCAAAGTCGGCTGTTAACCGGAATCCATTCGAGAAGTGAACGCTCGGCCGTGACACTTAGCGCAATCCCAATACCAGCAACACCGCGAGCTTCGGATGCCGAATCGCCTGACACACGGAGGGTGAAGCTTGAGGATGAGGTTGGATCAGGAGAACGGAAGGAGATGACTGAAGTAGGATCTTGTATGCGTGTTTCGGAGACACACCATACACCTAACTTGAAAGTTTCAGGGGTTCTAGCTAAGGCAGCTTGTTGACCGATCTGATAGTGTGCGGACATTGAACGCGGCTAAGTGAAAAGGGGATTTCGGCTTTAAAAATCTTATAACTTCTGATTGTCTGGCCTTGCTTGCAAAACACTGATTGATATTCGACGGGTGGCGTAAACAGGTATCTGGGATTATTTGGGATTGAGAAGAACTAGACAGACGGGGAAGATGGTTTTCCAAATGAGTGCCTAAGACTTTTGGGCACGACATACTTCGCGGCAGCCCACACCGACGAAGGGGTTTTCTTTGGGAACCCCAACCGGAGCCTTTGACTCAAAAGTCTGACCCGCAAGTCAGCGGGAATTTGTGGGTTTTTCTTTGGGAACCCGAACCGGAGCCTTTGACTCAAGAGTCTGACACACAAGGCAGTGGGGCGTAAACACAACGCGGGAGCGTGAACGAAGCACCCGTGTGGGAGCCTCTAGAGACCTGTCACGCAAGGCCTTTGAATTTCTATTCATTGTGTTGTTCGCTGGTGCGTTGATTTTCGGTCCGCTTTTCGGGATCAGCCCTCAGTCTCATGCACCCAATGAGACAAGCGGAAAGTGGACGGAAAAGCACCTTATTGGCTGGGGGCTGCCCAGCTTGAGCGGGCGGTAGCTGTCCAATGAAGTGCGAAGACTTCTCTTACCGTCGAGAGGAAGCCCCAGGTACCCCGCTCCTACGTACATCTAGCGGGGGTTTTTTGACCGGTAAACTGCCCTTCACCGTGTTTTTTACTGGAGTGACCTCTCCAGGGGCGGGTGTGGATAGAAGAAAGAAGCCAGGAGGTGCCCAAGCAGCTGGCCCTTGTGAGACTGAGCTTTGTCTGGTTTCTACCCGTCGACAAGGTGAACCTCATGGTCACGAAGATCTTCAACGAATTCCTCTCTACATCCAACTACGCAGTTACGAATGGGAAAGTCAACCAATCAAACCGTGTTAGCATGTCAAGGAAGAGACAACAATCCGTGTTAAAGTGATTCACCACGAAATTCCTTAGTGTGATGAACAACAGACGGGGTGGGACCCCATGATCAGGAAGACCTGTTGTTCAGTGATGGAAACCGGCAACATAAGCCCCAGGACTTGGAGTGTCGATCCACATAAAGCCCCGCTAGGTTAGACCTGGTATTGAACAACGCCACCCAAATTACCTCGTAAGAACGCGACTTAGGACTCCTAAGTCGGCCGTGAAATAGTGGAGCCTTCAATCTGTACGGTGTAAGTAGGTAGATTCTGGAAGGAATTCATATCCGAGTCGATATTTACTTCCGATGATCACTGGTGGGTAGATGAGAGTTATGGAGTCAAACAGTGAGTCGAACACAAAATTTTTTCACCTAGAAGCCGTGATATATAGAGCAAAAAAGAGCCCCATCGGTGTATAGACCTATTTTTCAGTCAAAGTAAGCGGCACCCTAAATCTGGAAATTACAAGTAGAAAAACCATTAGGTCCTAATGAGGTAAACATTCCATTCTGTTCGATGAGCTGGAATCCGTTTATCACCATAGTTGGGTGGCCGAGGAGAAGTTTGAACATTGGACCGTTGAGATCGGTACGTGTAGATGACGAGTTACGTCATTCAAACATCATTCAACTAACTATAAAGTACCAGTCTTTTCGGAAACTTGAAGATAAAGCTTAAATCCACGCGTTTCGTTTTCGTTTCAGGAACGAGATACGCTACTGTGAGTAACAACGTGTCCCTCACTACGAGGTTGTCGCGTAAAATAGCAGTGACGAAAGTGAATTGGTTTGCGTATGTGTTAGTCTCAGGAATAAGTTCGAGTGAATGTTAGTTACCAACTAAACTTGACTGAAAAATATAGAAACGAAGTTAGGTAAGCATAAACAACGGCACTGTAGTGAATGAGCTAGGAGAAGCACGACATAAGCGGTAGCGTTGATGTTCGAAGATAACTGGGCAGTTTAAATGTGATCAAACAGTGTTTCTAAAAAATGCAGGAAAGGAAACATACCTCCTGCAACAAATCTTGCATATCAATATCGTTCAGGGCACTGTCTTTTCCTGTTTCTTGTACTTCACCTCCCAGAAGGAACTCGTCCAAAACGTAGTAGGCCTTCTCAAAATGAAAAATGATATCCAGCTCACAAACCTGTAGATAAAAATCAAACGGCAGTTACCAACGGAGGTTTACCTATCTATGGTACCGAGTGTTCATGGCCATAAACAACCATAAATTACCAATAACTGTCTGCAGAAAAGATGGTTCCAGTTAACATTTTACTTCATTTAGTTATGTAGCGTTTTCCAAGCTAGAAATATTCGACAGTTTCAAGGCACCTTGGTTAATGTGGAGCAGGTAGGTAGACACCAAATTCGTTGCAAGAATGGTGCCAAACCGACAGCAATTACAAAGGAAATAAGGATTACTGTACATACGAGGGGGCTGAAAATGACGAAAAACGTGCCAAAGGTTTTTGTTTTACTGCACCGTTTTTGATGCTTTGTGTTATACGTTATATTTTATGATATTTCAACAGGAGTCGTAAAAAACTTGGCGTCACTAATGTTTGCTCCATCACCGTCGGTAAACAACGACAATCTTCATTAGTCGTAACCTGGAAGGTTGAAGGCACAAACTGAGGCCAAAGCCAAAGATAGCTTCTTCAAACCCCAAAACCAGGTGATGATCTGGCCTCTGGTTCTTTTAGCCCCACGAAGAACGTGGATGAAGAGCACGAAAAATGTCGGAGATGATGTGGAGAACGCGTAACAGCACCCAACACACGACGAATCCAATCATTGCTCATTCGCTGTTTCCACCAAAAACGAGTAATGCTTCGGTGTTCGGATATAGAGAGCCAATGAACATCCTCTGTGCGAAAGCCAGGTTCCATAATCGTACATTGGAACATTGTTAGCCTTTCCTTATTGTATATTATATCTTTCATACGTCTGGGTCCAAACTGTGCGCCAGACAAATCACAGTGCAATTATTTTCATTAAAAACAACAAAAATGCGATGATTTGTTTGTGGGAGCGATACTATCAGGTTGTCCAGGCCAAGGAATACACAATCGGAGCCTTCGGGTAACCTAAACAACCGACTGGGAAATCAATAAGCTGCAAACGAAACAATGATTGTAACAGAAACTGGTGGAATGGGGTTACAGAGCAGAGCCACATAGAAAACAAACGATTACAGAGTATAAAAACAACAAGGCTGGTTTATTACAGTTCAGCTCTTACAACCATTAACCCTGCACTTGCGCGCGCCAGTTTTGGTTGCTGTCTTTTGGTGCCACATTGGGATAAAAGAGCAGAATGAAGATTGAAATGTTGAGAGCAGATTTAAGCACATTTTATCTAACCACCGGTGACGATGATCTCTGGGTCCTTGACGTAGA